ATCATTTTTTCTAATTTAGTATAATTATATGATGTATATCATTAAATTTTCATTAATGATATCTGAACTTTTTCATAACTATAATAACATGATTCTAATACGTGGAGTATCACTTTTTTTTATTGATTTTAGGATGATGCTTCAAAATAGGTATTTTTCAGGATATAATTTATGGTTAAGTATAACTAGAGTATACTCAAGTGTAAATCATTGAATTTTCATTGATCCTATCTAAATTTCTTCATAAGTATAATAATATGAATCAAATATTTTTAGTATTACTTTTCTTATTTTTAATTAATTTTAGGATACTTAAATTTTAAAATAAATTTTTTTTAGGTAGAATCTATGATCAAGTATAAGTGTAACCTAAGTGTAACTCTAGTGTAAATCATTGAATTTTGATTAATCCTATCTAAACTTTTTCATAAGTATAATAACATGTTTTTAATATGTGTAATATTATATTTCTTATTTTTATTGATTTTAAGATAATTAACGTTTGAAATAGGTGTTTTTGGGGTAGAATCTATAATTTAACTTATTAAATTTTTACTAAACTGTCCAAACTTATACATAAGTACACTAACATAATTATAATATGTATAATATCACTTTTCCCATTTCTTTTATGATTTTAGTATGTAATTTTTAAAATTTTTTTTTTTAGATTGAATCTATGGTCGAGTGTAACATGAATGTAACTCAAAGTGTAAGATGGTGAATAATCCTCAAATCTATCTAAACTTCTCCATAAGAACCATAATATGATTATAATATTTATAGTATCACTTTTACCTTATGTTGAGATTTTAGGGTAAACTTTCCAATTTGGTGATTTTTTTTATGGATCAATGAGTGTAACTCAAGTTAAATTTTATCAAACCAAACCAAACTTCTTTAGGATTAGTGTGACATGATTATAAGTTAATTAATATCAATTTTAGTATAATTAATGGAATTTGGTGTGCAATGATTCGAATTTTAGATCGTAACTATCCAATTTGTAACTTTAGTATAACTCATTAAATTATACCAAATCAAATTTCAAGTTGTAAATCCTATCTAGTAATCCTATCTAATTTGTAACTCAAGTATAACTCAAGTTAAATTCCATCAAACCAGACCAAACTTCACCAGGACTAGCATAACATGATTTCAAGTTGATTAGTATTAATTTTTTTTTTATTTTTTGATAATTTTATTATAATTAATTAAATTTGACACGTGGTGATCCGAACAAAACATATCTTAATAAAAAAATGATCCTAACTTGATTAAAATCAATTCTACAAACTTAACTAAAATAAAAATATACCAAGGATTGTAACATCAATTATGATATTCAAATTTAAAATTATCAAAAGATTATAATGTTTCATAGTGTTAATTTGTCGAAATCTTAAGTTGTATATGTATATTATACACAAAAACACTACCTCCTATAGCCAATATAGATAATAAAAAATTAATCAAAATTAGACTATGTAAAAATACTAAAGATATCATATTGTTTTATATTTGATAATGTCGACTTATATAACTGGTGGAAATTTGCATCACCATTAATTATGACCTAACTGTTAATACCTTGAACACCTTCTAGGGATCTTACCATTATGTCTCAATCTTATTATTAGCTTTTTTAATCCAAAAATATTTGTTTCTTATTGGTAATAATATCTTATTATTACCATTACGTCTCAGTCTTATGCAAATATTTTGCTAAAAAGTAATCCTCACAATACTCATATAGATTGAAATTTAGAAATCTAATAACAGCTACTGCATGAGAGCATAAAATATCAAATATATTAAACCATCAAATTCTCTTTTTCAGATCTACTATAACTATCTGAATGGATGTTTGGACTTGAAATATTTTACTCAAATGAGAGTGAATAACATAAAATCTCACCTTATCTTTCAATTTTGATATTTTTTCCTCTATCAAGCGTGTCAATGTACTAATTATAGCATTAGCAAACTGATGATGCAAATAAAACCACTCGATAATTTTTCTTCATGTCATCTTGATTATATATGTTATTAGAAGTCCATAAACATCTTTCATTAGCGAATTCATGCTTATAGAACCATTTGTTTTTAACATTACATACTATCATTTTGGAAAAAATATAATAGCTCACTTCTCTCTATCTAATTTTGAAACGCAACAAAAACTTTCAAGATTTTTTTCTATTAGTTTTCGTAGATGCTCTCATGATAGTCTAAAAAACTCTAGCCACTTTCCTACATGTATGTCACTTACTAAATTCTTTGAAAGATGGATCATGCAGCAATCATAATGTGACTTCGAGATTATTTCTTTCACTATTATAAGAATTCCTAAATTTCTATCATTGGTAATACTTAAAGAATTACAATTCATACCAATGAAATTTCTCAACTCAAGAAAGAAATCATTCTCACAACTCTCTCCCCTTAATCTCTGCTACTCCAAATGCGACAAATTATAAGTTATTAGATTCATCAATAGTAGTCACCATCATCAAAACACTAGAATACTTTATAAATAAATATACTATATCTATGCCAATAACTAGATGAATGTATTGAATAAAACTATGCAAACATGCACCGAATACCCAAAAAACCCATCGAAAATGTCCAACATCTGTAGTCGTTAAAAAAAACTAATCATTTCATAGTCATAATAAATTTTCAACTCATGTAGAAAAGATATTAACTCACTATAACATCTATCAAAGTCTCAATGAACTTCATTTAATGTTATTTCACATGTAAGATATGCTTTTCTATCTATATGAAACCACTGCTTCAAATATTTTTTGAATATATGCAATGATCATCTTCGAAGTATATTGTTCATTTGTATGAACTTGTTCTTTGATTTCTTCAGCTATAAACTTGCTAGTGCAAGATAGATAACCTTGATTTTTTCTAGGCATATTACATTAGTGCTTGTTGATGAACTTTGTCATTCGACATGCATCACCTTCATGAGCAACTATCATCTATCCATAGTGCTCAACCTTATATTGTACTTTATGCTTATAAATTCTACATGAATTTTTATTTTAAAATTCTTTCTTATAACATATTCTTACAAAACTCTTTTAAACTCTAAAATATCTGTAAATACCTATAAAATATGAAGGACTTATGTTTCAAATATCATAAATAAATTACTATATTAAACATTATAATATGAACGATCATAAATTATTACCTATCCAATATATATCATAATAAGTTCCTCTTCATTTGGATAGGGAGTTAAAAGTATTAAGGTTGAAATCATATTCTTTCATGACCTTATCCTCTAATAGGTTTTCATACATATATAGATTAAATATGATCCGCTCACTAACAATATCATGGGCATCAAATGTATTATGATCCATATCTTCTTCGGCTTCTTTACTATTCTTTACTTAGCTAACTTTCTTCAAATATTTTATAAATATCTTTATAATCATGGATTATGAATGTCTTGTTCAAATCAAAGTTTTAAGTTTGAGATTTCATAGAAGAAGATACTTCAATTTGCTCTTCTAATTTATAATCACTTTCAAAAATAAAGTTTAATGTTTGAAGTTGTGTAGAGGTATATCCTTCTGCTTAGTTTGGTATCGGATGACTACTTATCAAAATTACTTCTAATTTCGATATCGATAAAGCTGGTGTTTCATTTAAACTGTCTATCTTATCTAGAAAATAAAATATTTTATTTAAAAGAGGATCACTCCTATCATAAGTAGCCTATATTTAAATGACATTTTAAATTAATAATACCAAACTATAAATATGTATTCATCTAATACTATTTTTTTTTTTTTATTACCGTAAATGATTCAATGATGCAATGAATGATAAGCTGATTCAACTAGCGCGCTTTAGTGACACTACAAATGCTTCACCAATACAATGATCAATCATGTATTGATTCAGCGAGGCTATGTAAAGTTAAATAAGGTTACGATGACAAACCATGGCTCAACTAACGACCACGACAATAGCCACTAGTAGGATGGTGAACGTCTTGTTAGAAAAAGATGACGACAACCTCTTATCCCAAAAGAGACGATGACTATAGAGACTCAACGGGAAGGTGATGGCAACATCCTGCCCCATTAGCGATGATGACCATGGCTATCGATGCTCAACAGGAAGGCGATAATAACCACAATCACCGACGCTTAGTAAGAAGATAACAACGACCTTTTGTCCCATTGGTAATGATCATCACGATCATCGAGGCCCAATAGAAAGGCAATGGCTATAACTTGTTCCATCATTCAATTAGGTCGAGACAGAGTTTCCTATTGGCAATAACGATATTTAAATTACATTCGTTGTATTCATTGAATAATTTTCTTCAGCAATGATGATTTTCTTCAATTGAAGAAGAAGGTCAACAATGATTTTCTTTGATTTTCTTCAATAACAACCAGCAATAAGAACGTCAGTAATAATGATTTTCTTAGATGTTTCTATTGCATTGGAGATATGACGGGATAGTTTTGGAGAAAAAGATGGAGCATTTTAAGTCTAAATTAGATCAAATCAAATAGTTAGGCTTTTATTACATCGCTTTGTTTTGGTTGATGTCAAACAGATCGATTCAGTCAAAAAAAAAATTTAAAACCTCTTAATAAAAATTAAATATGTAGATGTAGATTTACCGATAGACATTGGTTATTTTTTTATTTTATAAAGAGCATTTCAGAAAAAAGATGCCTGGGTGATAAATCGGGTGACATCTGGTAAATCCTCGTTTCTGAACTTTTATATATATATATATATATATATATATATATGGAAAGATCAACTGCTGCAGAACCATGCAAACCGACGCTATCTCGCCACGCGGCACGCTTCGAATCACCACCTTCTTGTTTCACTGGTGTAATTCGTTTACGCTTTAACAAAATACCCATCAGAGCCACGAGTGGGAGCCACCTTTAAACTCCGCACTTGTTGCAGTTACAAGACGGGTAATTTAGATGAGGGTTGAGAAAGGCCACTCCGGCTACCAAACGTGACCGCTGCCTTGGCTTTCTCGCTGTTTTTTCTTCGCTACCACTCTTCCCCCACTCTCTCGATCCGATTGCGATTAGGGTTCCAAAATCTCCTCTTCCATTGATCCACTTCGCTTTAAAGTTCTTGATTGCTTACGATGGATTACGAGCAGCGGGCAAAGGTATTCCAAGACCACAAATCTTTCAGCAACTCCGGAGGAGGCATCTCCGAATTCATCGTCCCCCACCTCCTCAAATTGTCAGTCAATTAATTATGCCTTTTCTTTACCTTTTGGGATATTATCTCTCTTTCTTTGTTGAATTTGTTCTTCTTGTCATGTACATATTCAGATATGGATCGCGTGCCACGGCACGAGACTTTGAAATCTACGCTCCCAATGCAACCTTTGAGGATCCTCTCATGTGCGCTCACGGGTGAGTAGCTAACCACAGTTGGCTTGTCAGGTTTATTGCCTAGTTGTTGCATTGATTAAGTTCGGCTCTCCTTATTTTTTTGCAGAGTGAAGCAGATCAAATCCGCGTTTTATTCACTCCCCAAGGTTTTGATTTGCTTTGTTGGCTTTAGTGTTCTTCGTCATGCTTTTGTCAAGATTGCTTTGATTTTTTATTGGTGCCTGTTGGTCGTCTTTAAGAAGAATGCAATACATAGTAAAAATCTTATCAGACATTAATATTATGACAATAGCTCTAGTAAAATACACATATTTTAGGAAGGTGCAGTACAACTAAAAGTAACACATGATAAGTTGCTAACAAGCTTATCTCAGTTGGAGAAGGGCCAAAGTTTTCATCTATAGTAGGCAAGATAATAGTGTTCTATATGGGCCGCACAATGAATTGGTTATGCGAAAGCTCTCTGAGAAAACTTCTGACAGGCCTTGTGCTAGAGCCTCAGGTTCGATGTAACCGTTCGATTTAGTCCCACGTTATAAGTGCCAAAGTCTTATATTAACTTATAAGGGTTTACTATTATTAACTTTGGCTTCAATAAAGTTAACACACTGATTTACTCTCACAAGTCGACTTGAGCTTCAGCATTCCGAGCTAGTGGTTCAGGCTTAATAAAGTTTGTTAACCTACCGGATCTAATCATGACAATGTCACTTGTGATAATAATCAGGATAATGGTTACTAGAATTTATATATTCTAGTTTATAGATCATCATGATTTGTTCCACACTAATTTGACTTGGGAATAGTGTTTCATGTTTCATGGTTTGCTTTGTAATATGCCAAGTGAATGTTGATTGCTTAGTTTAGTGTTCATAATAACACAGTATAGAATTTTCTAATCAAGCTTGACAATTCGCATTTAGGAATCTTGATTGTTTTACAGTTTACTACCTTACTTTCCAATGTCGACCTCTCCTGTCTTGTCACCATTATTTCGAAATACTCAATAGACCAAGAATTAATTTTGTCCTATGAGACTCATGACAGGGCTGTTTATATATATTCACTAATAACAACACATTTGCAATCCACTGAATTGATAGATAAAGATAAGAAACGGTCACTGGGTCTCTAAAGTTAATGTGTGATGCAAACCTTTATAGGCGTTCACATAAAAATATGAGAAAACTTTTTAATTTTCTGATTAGGATTATGACATACGTTAGCATTATGAATTTACAAATTTAATTTTCTGAACCATCTAGCCTGGATAAGTAACTACTGTCAGAGTTTCCTGACTTTTTGGCTAACTATTATGTGTATTTTATATCCTCCAAATCAAAATTTGGTTGAATTTACTGACCATTGAGTACTTGGAAACAGATACAAGGACTCATGCAGTCGGAATTATAATTTTATACATCTTACTTGATAGAAAATTGAAGTACATCATAATAAACTTGACTGCTGCTAAACCTCAGTGCTAGTAGATACATTATGTAATTAGATCATGTAGTATTGCAAATTTGATCATTCAGTCTATGCACTTGCCCTTCAGGTGAACCATATCGATGCCATGTATAGCCATGCAGAGTAAGCTTTACTTTGCATTAAGATTGTCATTTATCATCTTTTTATTATTCTTCAAAGATAATTATCCATCTAATTCTATCTTAGATCTATTTTATTAGGATAGGCAGTGCAGTTGATCCTATAAATTTATACCACCATGACACACTTATCTGTGTGTTGCAGCTATCTCTTGTATTTTTAAGTATGTCTGGGTTACGGTTAGACCTGATTAATCAATGTTGAAGATGTAAGTTTACCTCTGTATCAACGATATTTTCTATCATCAATTGAGGCAGTCTATGCCTTTCAGGTTTTCAGTGAATCTAGGATTGTTGAATATACAATACAAGAAAATGCAACTGGACCAGGAAAAGCCGAGGTATGTGATTGTATTTTGCTATGAATCTCTGCATTGCTCTTCCAATATGCTTTTTTGTAACTTTCTTTTTTTCCTCAAAAAGTTCAAAAATTATATAATTTAACAAGAACAAAAAGAGCCCTTTATACACACCTAATATATGCACATATGGGACTTTCTTCTTTGAAAATTACTTGCATACACACCTAATATATGCACATATGGGACTTTCTTCTTTGAAAATTACTTGCATACACACATAATGCACATGAACCTGCGATTTGCTTGCTGTTCAAGATGCCATATATGCACCATCTAGGTCCCATGATGATTCTACACCAGCACTGGCACACATTGAATCACCTCCATGTTCATACGGAAGGCAACAGCAACCTTTCTCTCTGTAATGACAACCTATTTTGTGTATGTTTCAGATTTTGATTGATAACAAGCAACATTACAAAATTTTCGGAAAAGATATCGATCTAGTATCACTTATTAAGCTGAAAGTTGAAGGGGGGCAAGTTGTCCATCATGAAGACTGGTTAGTCCAAGCTCTCACTGTCTTTTGGCATGCTTTAATTCCAGCATCAGTTTTGATAGATTTTGGTGATAGAAACTAATTCATCATGAATACAAGTGCAGGTGGGATAGGAAGCCTCTAAAGAACAGGGACACAACCAATCTCCCTTTGGTAGGACGGCTAGCAGAATATACACGCAGGGGCTCAATGCTAATTACACATGTCCTCATGGGTTTTGGCAAAGATCCAAGCCATTGAAATTTATCTCCGGAGTACCAGACGTCATGTTAGCTAATCACTAGTTTTGCCACTGCCACTGTTGTGTGCAGCAGATGCAATCTGCAAAGTTCACATAGATTGGATTGTATGCAAATGGTACTTCAGAAAGTATTGCAGACTGGACTGTAAGGAATAAAAGGTAAATATATTCATATTGATGATCTTGATTAGATTTGGCATCCAATGGCAGTAGCTTTCTGATGAGTGTTTGAACAAATGCTGGTTGCTATCTCACTCGATATGCATAGCAAATGGAAGATTGTTTCAAGTGATTTCGTCTTGTGCATCATCCAAAGTTCTCAGTCAGGTATGGTACGAGGGCTACTCTGAACACAAATTCTCTTATTTAAATAAAAATGATATATATATATATATTCTTTAAGTAGCTAAGAGCTAATATGTTTACAAAACATCTATGTTTGACCTCTCATAAGCTGAAATTGTTGCATAAAACAAAATAGTTATATGGTCTTATTGGATGTTCCAAACATTCTGTTTCAATCTCAGCGTTAAATCTGATGTATACTGATAAAGTGTTAGGTCACAAATGATATGATATTTTTTGTTTTTTTATAACTATTTCTTAATCAATTGAAACTAGTTAAATGCAGATTATTTTTTTTCTAATAAAAAATTTCATTCAATATGATTTTTTTTTTCATAAATCAGGAATCCAATTAAGTCATCTACGAGGGTAAAAAGGTCATTTCATATGATGATATGGTTGATGAGATATTGAAGAGTTCCATATAGAAAGATTGGGAGGGGTAATTACACATTACTCCTATAATTAACTATAGTTAGTATCCCGATCTATATATCTTAAAAAGTAGTATTGGGGTCTCTAACCTTAGGAAGGTAAAACATTTCATCCTAATTTTTCGTACATCGTTAACTTTGTTGATAGAAAAAATCGTATGTGTTGTTGCATGCACAAAGAGTGTAAATAAAAAAAATAAAAATATGAGTTTATTATTTTTAAATTATTAAATTTATATCCATTTCTCACCTTAACTGATTTCTCTTCCTCTCCACCACTCGCCCATCGCACCCACTTGACCTACATCGCTCTTGCACCACTTGACCATCGTTGCACCTATAATGCTCATCGTTATTGCACCTGCACCGCTCGACTATCGCCTCTCTTGACCTGCTCAACCCCATCACCCTAGACTCGCTCAACCACTATCGCTCCTGCACCGCTTGATCGTCGCACCTACATCGCTCGTTGCTATTGCACTAGACCCAACTCGCCTATCGCACCCTGCTCACCTACTGCACCTACTCACCCGCCACCCCGTCATCCTCGCCATGGCCGACAACGATCTCATCATCGTCAAAGAAGCTTGTTGCCTATGTGTCTCCTCTTTAGAATCGACCCAATAAGAACTCAGTGTTCCAGCGGTGCGTCGATGCTAAGGTCCAATAGTGGGACAACCTCACCTTTGGGATCGCCTTCTATTGCTGCGACTCGTTCCTCCTCAACTAGAGCCTACAGTTGTCCCCTTGCAACAGCCGCCTCTCCCTCTCCTCTCGTGACACTCATCATCTTCCACTCCAAGGTCAACAAGATCTCCCTCCTCATTGTCAACACCACCATCAACCCCTCCGTATGATTCATTCCCCTTTTTTATCTCCTCTGATTTAATATACATATGAATCAAATATCTCAATCGAGCTAATAAATATGCTTAATTCCACTTGAAATATTACATTAAATCTATTTTTATATTGTTAGACAAATGCATCATCAACCAGACTATTGCTTCTTTGCTTTTCCAAATCAATAGTCAAGGATTCATGGTGGCATGTGCTAGTAGAAAATATGTAACAATGTCCTCTCCCGTCTTTGTTGGCAACGGTTCATATGCTCCAATACTTCAGCGAACGCGCACAATTGTGCAGTAGATGAGCAGGTGTGGTAGTCTATTGAGTGTGACGGTGAGTTGAGTTCGGTGTGGCGACAATGAGCAATGCAGGAGCGATAGTGGTCGAGCGGTGCAGGGGGTCAAGCGATGCAAGTGTGGCGACGACAAGTGATGTAGGTGCAATGGCGACAAGTATTGTAGGTGTGATGGTAGTCAAGCAGGTATAGTGGACGAACGATGGGCAAATAGGCAAGAAAGAGGAGGGGAAGAGAAATATTTCAAAAATAAATTTAATAATTTAAATAAATATTTTTTTATAAGTGACAATACGTGTGATTTTTTTTAATGAAGTTAGCGATATAAGAATTAAGGTTAAATATTTTACAAATATAAGGATCCAATATTATTTTTTAAAATATAAAGACCGAGATGTTAATCATATTTAAATATAGGAATAATCTGTAATTATTCCGATTGGGGGAACTAACATAAATAGCGCTTTTATTCCGACCGTCCATCACATCAAGGTCTCGCACAAGTGAACTCTGAAGCATAGTGATCCCATGACACAGGATATGAACCTCACATCCCATGTTAGGGTTAGTATTCATTGGGCATCGAGAATCTTCGGACGGGGGCTAGACGGCTTCAGTTTAACATAGTCTGACGGAGCAGCAGATTGTATTTGGCGATAAAGCTTCGGAGGGCAGGGGAGTGATTGCGAACTGTGGCGAGATCGTGCGTCTGGATTGGCAGGAGCAGGTGCGGCAGTCCCACAACGCAATCTTTCGATTATCTTTCTCTTTGTTCTAATTTCGGTTTCTGATTTCTTATTTCTCTTTCCAATCACCTGATGATGTTCCCTCCTTTATGACGATCTCAATTCACCGCTGAAATAATTGGGTATTTTGTGGAATGCTATGCCTTCAACTTGTTTGGTTAAATGCATATTAGCGTGCAGCATCTTCTTTTACCAGCTGATTTGTCTTTAGAGATAGATGCAATTGGCGTTGCATCACGGGAATTTAGGAGTGATTCCAATCAAGTTAACTGTTTAGGAACTGTAGAAAATCTATACTGTGGAAAGAGGAAAAATCAAAGAGTGTCCACAGACCTAGATAATCAATGCAAAATCAGTCAGCGGTAGAATTATAGGTTGGTAATGAGGATGTTGTTGTTTTCGCAACCGTAAGCTGAGATGTCAGTCTGATCTGTGTGCCCATGCAAGCGAGTTACCAACTTCTTTGATCATCTCAGACATGCTAAATATATAAATTTTGCAAGGATTAGGTATTGGTGGACATGTCTTCACTGACCTTGAAAATGTGTCGTGATTTCTTCTGCTTGAAACAGGCAAACGTTGAACATTTGATAAAAATAGTGTTGATGATGCACAACAAAATACAAATAGACAGACATATTAAGTAATAGTTGGAGACAGAAAGGATATTTGAGTTTAAGAAGGCACGCTATGCATTCCCAAGGTACGATCCTGAGCTCGATCTAGAACCCTTCAGCGTCATGCTTGCCAATGGGTTTTAGATGCCCAAGTTCTCAGCTGGTTCTCAAATGAAGTTATGTTATACCAAACAAAAATAGATGGAGACACAGAAAGCTAAAAAAGTCAAGAAGAGTGTTGGTATAGGCTGTACATGACTTTGTTTTGTAGAAGAGAAGACCCCCTTATAAGAAAATGAAGATGAAGGAAATAAGGTGATTATTTTGCACCTGGGAAAAAACTGATCATTTATGGAGGGATTGATGAGAGATTGTGTGTAAGTTATTCCCATTGTCCAAGTGTCTCTCTTGAAACAGTGAAGTAAAGAATATAACACATTACAAAAGGCCAAGTCTAAAGAGATTTACAAAGGCAATATTAAGTTGTTAACCTCTCAAATAAGTGGAATATCTAACAGGAGAACCATGTGCTGAAATTCTACCCAACTTGATTAACTAATCGAACTAGTACTGTATAAACTGTTTCATTAGGAAGAGTTATTGAGTGTCCAAGAAGCCTTCTTAGATAGTATATTTATTACTAGCAATGTTCATCCATTTTGAATTTGAAACAAATGTAAAAAAGGAGAGAACTGTTGCCATCAAGAATAAGTCATTCTCGTTTTGTTAGTATGCACAGTTGCTAGCCTATCCGAATGATTGTTACTCATCTGTGTTATTCTCTGAGATGTTTTATGAACCATGGACTTGTCATCGAACTTATATGAAATAACAGTTCTTTCCATGCACTCCTTCCTTTCTCAAACATGTAAAAGGAAACTAACAATTACACAGTGTCACACAGGATACAAATGTTTATGAAGCATGTTCTATGTTAGCAAAACCAGAGTGTGGTTGATGACTTAGTCTTACACGCATCTCCTTGAATTAATATATGAGGATTAATATATTATTGTAGACATATGTAGATAAACGGAGGTGTAGGTTTGATGCAGTAGTTTGACCATTGAAAAGGTTGTCGGGTTCCTTTCAGAATTTATAAATCTAGGTAGTGGGCAAAACATGTATTTCCTCTTACCTTGTCTTTATTAAGTTGACTTCGTTTCTTTAGACCTTAGATGGCTTGAAACCAACAAGAATATACTAGCTTTGTGGAATTGTATTCATTCTTTCTTGGATCATATGTATCAATAGATGAAACTTTATACAAATCCTTTAGCCGATTCATGCTGTCAACTAAGATCACTGCATTAGTGATAGATTTAATGCAGTAGTTTAACCTTTGAAAAGGTTGACAGGTTCTTTTCAGAAGTCATAAACCCAGGTGATAGGTAAAAGGAAAGATGAAGAAAATTAAGAAACTAATGAAATAAGCCATAAGGTTAAAGAACACTAGTGCCTATGAAATGTTAGTGGTGTCATTCACTGAATCTATTGTGATAACAAGTATGAGGTAGTATATCTTGTACTTCTTATTCTGGCAATAGTCAATGGGTCTTAGGATCAGTCGATATTGGACTACATCGATTGGGTTGGTCTCAGTCAGCACACTTGGATTAGGACCTTGGATTTCAAGACCATAATAAATCATGTTTTTTGATTGAAATTTAAGGTATTAGCATACAAAAACTCAGTGGAGAGTCATGTCAACACAATGCTGGGTCATGCCCCCCATGCCTATCCAATACAATTGGCAATGCTATGTTTCACGACACCTGGCAAGGTGTTCCATAAACTTAGAAATTCTGGATAGCCTTTGGGGATAATTGTCAAAACTCTGCAGTTTATGGATTATGTAGTCTTTAAAAAGATTATGAGATACAACAAGAGTTAAATTTAAGAGTACTTGTACCTATTTTGGTTTTGTTGTGGTTTTAATACATGAGTATTCTTCATTGATGGTTTGTTATGCTATCCTGTTTAGTGATGACCTATTGAATGTTCATAGTTGGTGGTATGAATACCAATTAATATGTCAAAAGAGAGTTAAGATCAAAGAATTATGGAATAACACACCCTTATCTTCACAAATTAATGTTGGTGGTGGGCTGTTTTTTTCTTTCCCCCTCATTCATGTCTTCACCTTTTATTTTTTTGGGAGTGTCCAATTGTGATTGTGATACATGTAGGTTTCTGATAGTAGATCAACATGCAGGCTTATGTGATAGGAAAGTTTTAGTTTTAACGATTTCTTCAAAGATTTTTAGTTATTTATGATGTTCGAGCCTTCTTTGTATGCAGGCTTATGTGATAGGAAAGTTTTAGTTTTAATGATTTCTTCAAAGATTTTTAGTTATTTATGATGTTCGAGCCTTCTTTGTCATCTCATTCTTCTATTCACAAAAACAAAATTCTTCATGTGATGGTTATCACTCACTATTTCTGTTTGCTTCTTCAGCAAGCTCTCCATTTTAATTACATAGAGCATGGTATCTAATTGTCCTTGTCCTATTTTATTATGTCTTGTTTTTTTTCCTGCTCCAGCAAAAATCATAATCTGGCGTCATGGGGAATAAGCCTGCAAAGCAAGAGACTAGGAAGGATGAGATCTTTGCAAGAGTCATGCCTCCACTAGACCAAGCCTTTGTTAGATGGCTTGCTCGCGATGTCAAAAGATTGCATGCTTTCGCCCCAAGAAATCCTCGTGCCATAAAGCCACCGGATCATTATATAGAGTACATGCGGCTGTATGGTTGGCTGGATCTCGACATGGATGATCCGGACCTGGCTTGTTTGATTAAGTAGTTTGTCTCGCCTTGCTATGTACATGATGCAAGTGTCTCTCTGGTTGTTTAGTGGATTTCACAAATCGAGATTGCAACTTCACTTATTCTTCTTTGAGAATATGTTGGAGAAAGACAGTCATATCAACTGCTGTGCAGAACATAATCCATAAAGGTAATGTGTATGTAGATTGCAAGTATGATGGTGTCTCGTGATGGAACTCACCACGTATCGATGGAATATGTTTTTGATGATGAGATCCTCGTTTTGTTTTACATGTTTTGTTGTACCTTTACAGACAAAGCAGAAGATGACTTTTGATTGTGTCAAATTGGAAGGACTATTAGGTTGATGTGGGTCAATAATACGGATTGGATGCATGTGTTTGATCTGAGTCAAACTGCAAGGACTATTATGATACTTTATCTAGCTGAATTGTGTATGTGTTTATATGGCTGAATAATCCTATCTACAATGCTCCATGTTGAAGTCAGTGGAAAAGTAACCAACAACTATTAAAGTATTAATGGAAATTGCGGTTTATACCCCAATACTTTGGTATTATCGCCGTAAAACACATACAAATCAGACGTATGCTAGAAAAAGAGAACTCGCGGGGATTTGGCGCACGTCGCTGAATCCAACGGCTACCTTCTACGCTTTAGACAACTGTCCCAAAGGACTTCCTTCCCTGGTCTCTGGTCGTTCTAACAGCCGAACAGCTGTGTATAGGTGTACAACTTGACCGTCCATGAATCGCTGCCTCTCATCCGACGACCGTGCGATGCTAATGGTGGTGTACGAACAAAATTTTAATATATTTAATGAATTATCTAGTTAAATAATTATTTAAATGGGGCCGGAGTGACGCCTCCGCTTCATTTCCGAACCAAGTCTCAACTCTATTATTCCCTCCCGCGCTTTCTAACCGACACACGACCTCATCTCCCTCTCCCTCCTCCTCGTCGTTCACGGATCCCAGACCCCGATCCGCCCCATACCTATCAGCCATCCCCCGCCACCACCGTGGGCGCCGTCGGATCCCCTTCTTCCCGCTTCTTCCGCCGCTGGAATCGGGCCAAGAACCAGGGTTTGGCCTCGGATTCTTTCTTGGAGGACGACCTGGGGTTCCTTTTGTGATTTGGTTTGTTTTGTGCTGGGAGGTCGATGTCTGCCGGCCGAGCAGCTGGAAGCCGCACGCCGCAGCTGCCGAAGCGGTACCTTCCGTTCCCCTATGCAACGCTACCGTTTTTTGCTCCAGATGAATACCACCGGCTCCCGGCCCCCGATGGGCGTCGGATCACCGGGGATGAGCTGGCCGATGCCCTAGTTATTAAGATGCCTGTGAGTCTCATGTTGGAATGTTGTCTCCCTATTGATTTGAGCTTGAGATGAATTGAAGCATTTAAACCTCATTGTCTGCTAATTTTGCTGCTCGACTTATCATTTCTCTTCTAGATGGACATGATTGTTTTCCCTTGTAATGCCGATTCCCATCTTTTAAGAAACAAAGAGATTATAAATTGTGTTCATGCAATGTTTTTTGACGTTGTTGATGTCATAGATCTGCATTTCTTTAGTTTTCTTAGATGTTATGCTAAAACTTGGGAAGGTTATTTGGAATGTCAAATTTGAAGGATTTAATTGCTACTCAGTAAAACTTGGAAATTTAGGAGAATGGTGCAGAAATGTCCAACGATAAGGTGTGCAAAAATTTAGGAGGGCAAGCCTTGGTACAACTGTAAAGTTGCTCATTTGCGACCTAGGAGATCAGGGTTCGAATCACGGAAAGAAGTCTCTTTAGATATTTAAAGGTAAAATTATGTACATTGACCCTCCCTCCTCAGATCCCGCATTGGTGGGAGCCTTGTGCACTGGATGCAGAAATGTGCAGCTTCTATGAGGACAGTACAAATTTTTAAGTGCTAAAACTTGTTATGCTTAATTGAAACTTTTAGTATCAGAAATATAAATTTTTAAGCTTTGAAGGACACTATGGGTATAAATGGTGCCAATGCTTGCTTTAAATTATGACAAATGATAGTTTATTATAATAGATAGCTTACATGTTTGTAGAATATAAAGGTAGAATCTACATTTAAATTTATAAGATGAAGGGTATTTGAGTAGGATCAACAGTGATGATCAGGTTTACATGGTATGCATACTTTATCAAGGTATGCAAGATGTTGCAACCTAGTCATTTCTTAAAAAAGAAATTGCTGTTTTCATTCTTATTCTGCAAAATGGTTGGCATTGTATTCTCATATACTTCATGATGGCATGTGTACTTTTCAAGGTATGGAAATGGGATTGTTCCAAATATTTATTTCATCGATCACAAAACTTCTAGTAACAGCTGAAGTTTGATATCCCCACTGAAGTACATTAAGGTGTCAAAAGACTCATGTGGCCTCAATAGAATATCATCCATTTTTGTTTATTCAAAGACGAGCTTTACTATGTAACAGAGGTTTTGAACATATGGAGACTCAGATCTAGAAGGTAAGTGTCAGGATTTTTTGAGAGAGGACTAAGTATGAAGATATTACAAAGAATATCTATATTGAAGAAATTGCTTTGTTCAATTCGGAGCAAGAACCGTTGGCATGTTCATAACTTGTAACATATACTTGTGACTTGGCACTTTCCATATATCCATCTAATTTTAGTCAGCAGCAAGTTCCTATTAGAAATCTGCCAATCTTTTGGCTAGTAATTTTTATTTGAATCTAATTCATCATGTAGATACTAGCTTGTTTCTTGGTATCTTTTATAACAACATCAATGGTTTCATGGCGAATTATGTACTTCTTTAACCACAAGTTTTATGTTGATCAGAGTACAAAATGATAGGTGCAATAATATTTAGGAAATCAAATATTTTTTGTAAAAAGATGTGTCTTCTAAAGTTTTGACAACTTACAGCTGTGTAGCCAACCCTAAACTTTTTGGAATATTGTGATGCTGAAAATCCATCATTATGTAGTCATTTTGTCTCTTCCTTCAAAGAGCTCAATAGCATGAAAAGATCTATATAATAACCCAAATGATTGCGGCTAGGGTTTATCGTACCACGATGTACTGCACGGCATGGGCGGTACATATCGATCCCATAGGGAACTGTTATGGGCGGTACATACTGGTTTGTTGGTATGTCTCATTGTACCATGTGTCAGTACATCGATACATATCATATCGATGATCGATACACTAATATGGACTGGTAAGGCGAATCATGGTTGTAGCATTACATTCATTGTTGTTGGTGGACAACTTAGGGCATCCTGGTTTTATCTTTACATTTATGTTGTGGGAGGATAAGTATTCGATGCATTTTTGTAAATGGTTTGATTAATAAAGATTGGCATAAAACAATTAACATATTATTAGTATGACATTAGTGTTTCTAGAGAACTGTCATTACCACCACACCATATCTTGGTAGCAAGTACTCTAGTGCCAGCGATTTGAAGTAAATAATCTGATATCAAACTTATTCTAGAAAAGGTTAGAAAGAATATGAAGTGTCATGTAAACTCATCTGATATGGGCTTCAACTTAGAATCAGTTATTGACTTATTGGTGATTATGAAGTGTCATGTAAGTAACACAAGAAAGTTGTGCTTCAGCATCTGAATTTTTGCTTGAGAAAATTCTATGTTAAACAAGATCTTTGTTCGGACTTGTTTTTCAAGTTGTTCTTGATAGATTGAAAGACACTGCTAGAAGTTATTGGTTCATCTCTTCTAGCCTGTTATTAAATGTACTTATATGCATAGTAAAACTAGGGCAAGATTTAAGAAAGTTTGAAACTTCTTCAAAAATTTCCAGTGTTTCTGTTAGTTCAGCTAAGCCATCTAGTCATCAGGAAAGATGAGGATGATAAAAAAATATAGGGCTTTCAACTCAAGTTATTGTCTTTGTCCTTACAACAGAATGCAGAAAGTCTTGTATTATAGCTATAATGGATTGACTATTAATCCTTTCAGTTAACCACATCTATCTTAGCTTGCTTGTAGATCTAATGTGTATATATATATTTTAATTTTATCAGTATTCCAGATCTTAGGCTTACTTTAATCTTGTGTCATCAAATTTGCTGAGACGTATATTCCTTTATGTAAATTTGAAATTTTAACTTGCTGCTCATAATTTAGTGAACAAGAAGATGATGAGGCTGCAGAGTCAAGTGAGTGGATGACGAATCCTTTTAATGCTGAAAGACATAATAATCTTTTTCTCACACCAAAATCAGGAAACAGAAGAAAGAAAGCTGGCAGATCCAAGGTTGCGAAGTACAAGAAGTCTGGCCCTCAAGCCCCTATGTCAAACCCTGGTGCATAGGTTCACCCTTCCATTATCATCAAAATTTCATACTAGTAATCTCCACTAGGAAAATTCACCCATCAGTTACTTGCATACATGCACCTACCTATCTTTGCAACTGGCTAATGAGATATGCTGTTTCTTTGCCAAATTTCAAGCTTAGATATGATAAATTCCCAATTGAAGGGCTTGGTCTGCTTATGATCTACATATGCAAATTTTATCAGTATCATTGTGGTCCTGCAGGTTCACCTTCATGCAACACCTTGACTTCAGTTGGTACTTGCCATTATGACAGCTCTCTAGGTGATCAAAGTCATGGCTAATCTAGAAACTTCAGGCAATATACTGGAAATTTTCTTTGCTTTTTGCTTCTGACAATTGTGTTGTGTAATTTCCTTTTCAGGACTCCTGACCAAAAAAGTTCATCAATTTGCTTAAACATGCGGAGGACAGCATCCTTGATTTGAATAATGTTGCGGAAACACTTGAGGTACTGCAGATGCTTAATAACGTAAACGACTCAACTTTGTTTTTGCTATAGTAAGAATTATATTGTGTAGGTGCAGAAGAGGTGGCTAATGTCCTTGTAGGGATTGGACTTATAGAAAAGAAACTCAAGAACAAAATTCATTGGAAGTAATTCATACTTTTTCCTTTTGGAAGTTTATTTAATATCTCAGTGTTCTCGATATTTAGGTTTCAAATTTGAGAAGCTTTTCACATGGTGCTTAATTCTTGGTTCATTGCATGGCAGGGGACAAGAGTCACAAGACAACACAAGACCAGGAGAAGTTGATACTGATATCTCAGTACTACAGGTATGATGTACATGTGCATGTTCTTTGCAAGACCAAAAAACCACTGTTCTCAGTTTATACTTGTCTTTCAGAGCCATGTTGTGAAATTCTTTATTGTGAACCAAGTAAACTCATCTGAATTATCCTAGTTTCATATTCTTCAGGTGGATGTTGAAACATTTGCCCTGCAAGAGTGCAGTTTTGATGATTGTATCAGGTCAGGTCAGGTTTTAATAGAGCTGCTAGGCTACTGAAGTCACACATCCTAACAATGCGTTGAAACACTTTCTTCACAGCAAATTTGTGAAAGACTGAGGGTCCTTATTGAAGATGAAATCAATCAAAAGTAAGTCTTTTTCCTCTTGCATTTACATTTTGAATATGTTATCAATCCATGCAATCGCCATGTGACATGATATTTTTGTGACTTTAGGTTGCTATATGTGACTGAAGATGACATCAAAGCTCCACCATGCTTTCAGGTGATGGTCTGTTAGCTTGCTTAGTTTATAAACGGCAATAAGGCACTGGCCTCTTCTCCATTATGAATATCATGATCTTATCCTCATGTATCTTATCTGCAGGATGAAACATTAATAGCAATAAAAGCACCTCATAGTACTACCCTGGAAGTTCCAGACCCTGATGAGGTGAGAAGAGGGAAAGCCTTGGAGAAGGACTTGTTTATAAGTTTTAGCACTTCATTGGTTTGACCATCTTTAAGTCTGTTTCCTCTCTACGCAGGTGAGTAATTATCTGCAGAGATACATGATTGTCCTAAGAAGCACAATGGGCCCGATAGATGTTTAACTTGTTAGGTTATGTTTACCCTTTAGTTTGTCATTCTAGACTGTCAAGCTTTCTACACAATTATTTGAGTTGGGCTCTGCTCTGACCTTCATGTGTTGTCCCTTGGTGTTCTTTTTCTTCTTGTTGCTAGTCAATTTGAGGAGGTGAGTGGTGTTGAGCCATCTCGAAGGCTCGTTTCTGGGAACTCTGGCGAACTCAGGGTCTGTTGCGAACCCATGCTGGCAGAGTTACAACGGAAGAGAGCAGAGGGTTAATCAAGATAGTGACATAAGTTCCTCGCAGGATTTTGGCGGTGGTATTATGAAGATAGTTCCCTCAGATTTTGATGTAAGTTCAGTTTTTGGTTATGGAGATATTAAGCCATTATACCTGCATATGCAACTCACCTCTGTGGTCTGGATCATGGACATCACAATAGACCATTCAATTAGGATCCCTTCTACAGTATATGTAATGACTAGCAATTTAAATATAGTTTGACTAGAGTTGAATCTGACTTTGATCTCAATAGATGACTTGTTAAATAAGAATTTTAATTTAATTTATTTTGTTTAAATGATCCCAATCATTTATTTCATGATTGAAATATGATCCTCTTTGGTAATTGATAGTTAATTAAGTATTTTTTATTAAAATTTTTTCTAAAAGGATATTTTTATTTTGTGATGATAATCGATTGCAAATATGAGAAATTTATTATGCAATTGATCAGATTAATTTTGTTATGTTATTTAAAATTAAAAAAAGTCATGTTATTAATCTATTTTGGAGAGAGAGAAACACTAGAATTCTATGATTTTTTAAGCATAATGTTGATATTTTCGTGACAAAATTTAGTATATATTTTTATTATGTTATGTTATTTAATATGAAATCTGTAACATACATTATTTGGTTTTTGTACACATGGCATGCATACACCTCCGTGTGCACAATCCTTATATGCATAAGTGCACATATATGCATGTATAAATTTTAACCAGTACAATAGTGCATCTATTCAAAACCTAGTTGACCTTAGATGTGGTGTCCATCTCCCATGCTATCCCGAGACCTCCCTCCTTCCCCCTCTTGCAACTCCACTTCCTCTCTCCTCCAGTCTGGTTCTCCACTTCATTCTTATACTCTCTGAATTTCTCAAAGGTCTCGGACTTATACTTCATTAAGTACACATATTCATACCTTGAGAAATCATTAGTGAAGGTAATAAAGTAGGAGTAACCACCAATGGCATGATTTGACATAGGTCCACATACATCACTATGTATGAGTTCCAACAGCTCAGTGACTCTCTCTCCAGTTTCACTAAATGGAGAGTTGGTCATTTTTCCATGAAGGCAAGGCTCGGAAGTTGCATATGACTCATAGTCGAATGAATCTAAATATCTATCCTTTAGCAACTTTTGAATTCTTCCCTCATGGATGTGACCTAGCTTACAATGCCACACTTATGCACTGTTCACCTCATATACTTTCCTCTTAGACACACTTACATTCATGATATGTTGAGTAGTGTCTAGCATAAACAAACCATTATGCAATGTTCCTTTCGTGATAATCTCATTATCTAATAATATTGAACAATTATTGTTTAAGAAAACTAATTTATATCCACTAACTGTCAAACATGAAATGAAGATAATGTTTTCAATAATAGAAGGAACAAAATAACATGCATCTAATGCAATAATAGCTCCACCAGGCAGATGTAGGATGACCTCGCCAATAGCTACTGTAGCAACTTTTGCTCTATTGCCCATCTTGAGGTCCATCTCACCTCTCACCAATCTCCTAGGCCTTGCTAAAACCTGCAATGAATTGCTTATATGACAAGCACTACCGGTATCCAATACCCATGTGTTATCATAAGAGTTTGATAAATGGAGACTGATCATGAATGTACCTGAAGCTTCTCCAAGCTTCTGTTTCATCCTCTCTGCAAGGTACTCTTTGTAGTTCATTTTCCAGTGTCCATCTTTGTCATAGTGGAAGCACTGGCCTTTGTCCTTTGCTAGGTCTTTCTCAGCAACATTTGTTTTACCTGGTTTTCCCTTATTAAGGGACTTTTTGTTTTCCTTTTCTTTCTGGTCTCACCAGTATAGAGAACTCGCTTCTTTTTCTTGATAGTACTCTCTGCCTCCCTCAACATATTAAGGAGCTCCGGGAGAGTCACCCCAAGTTTGTTCATATTAAAATTCATTATGAACTGTGAAAATGAATATGGTAGGAATTGAAGCATAATGTCCACACACAAGTTATCCTCTAGGACCATTCCTAGACCTGTGAGTTTCTCTATCCACTCAATCATTTTTAGGATATGGTTCTGAATCGGTGTCCCCTCAGTCATCCTAGCACAGAAGAGGCTCTTGGATATCTCATATCGTTGAGTCATTTCTTGTTCCTTAAACAATTTACGGACATATAGGAGAATGAATCTGGAATCCATCTTTTCATGTTGTCTTTGTAACTCAGGAGTCATAGAGCCCAACATGTAATACTGAGCAAGAGTGTAGTCATCAATGTACTTCATGTAGCGAGCGATCTCATCCTCGCTTACCCCTTCCTTGGGCGTAGGCATCACTGTATCAAGGACGTACGCGATTTTCTCCACCGTGAGAACAATTCTCAAGTTACAAAGCTAATCCGTATAATTTGGACCAGTGAGGCGGTTGACATCAAGTATGCAACGTAAGGGATTTGAAAGCGATATTTTCTAAAAATAAAGATGTGGTAGAAATAAATAACATGCAGATTTTATAAAAATAAATAATCAAAATATGAATTTCTATCTTAATAAGCTCCCATTATTTTACTAGCGAGTCACACGACACCCTCAGCACGTGAAACGAAAGTCTCTGGCAGACTTCTAGTGGGGATCAGGATCCAATCAGCATCTTAGTATAACCTCGAGGGACTCGACCAATCACACTAAGCCCGAAAGGTAGGCAACTCTTGCCGTTCACAACTCCTTGTGATTCCCGTCATGTTCGGCCTCCGAATCACCATGGTCTCGAGGGACATGACCAACCATGATGTTCGGTTAAGTCAACACCATCGTTATAAGTTGAGTATGATTCGATGATATACCCTCGAGGGACTCGACCAAGCATACCATGTCTTTAGGTCACCGGTGACAACTCTATGTCATAGGCAAGATAGCGAATCGCGATGTAGGTGAGCCTCGAGGGACTCGACCAACTCAACCTATACCGGGAATCAATCCCTACCTATAACAATGGAAGGCAACGTGGGTCAATCTAATTGCCTCACGTTTACCGACTTAATATTATCGAGAGAGGGGTTTCTATGATTTGGTCTCCTAATATGACATGTC